ATCCTTCTGGATCACAGTAAGGGAAGAGCTGATGTGGAATAAGTTGGCACCAATCTTCAACCCTCCACTTTATATCACTTTCAGCCTAGCTCTCTTTAGAGGGGCTGAAGCTAAGGGCAGTGGGGTTGAAAGCACCTGGCCAATGGCTAAGGAGGCAGTGAGACAATATGCAGGGTGTCCCCCCAAAATGTATACACACTTATTATGCATTATAAATTCCATGGGTTAAATCTGAAAAGAAAGAAACATCAATTGAGCTATCAGCTGTTAAAGTATGTATATGTTTTTTAGGGACACCCTGTATATCAACTGTCCAGTATGGCACTTGGCACATGGGCAATGGTTAACCAGCATTAGTTCCCTTCCCATTCTACAAGGTCAATTCTACCTATAAATCCCCATGAGGTTCCAGGACCTAGGTCACCTCAACTCTCCCCACAGGGCCTCTCTAAAGTCCCCTAGCCCAAAATTACCTTGTTCATATACATCACCCATTTCATGACAGGTGTCATACTAGGTGACACATGTAATTCTATTCAACTTTCACAATGACCCTATTTTGCCCTTTTTATACAGGAGAAACTAAAGCCCAGAGAGGGGAAATGACTTGCCAGAAGACACACACATAGCAAGTGCAGAGGTGAGATCTGAACCCAGGACTGTCTGACTCAGAGCCAGGCGCTTCCAACATTTCACTCCTGTCACCAGTGCTGACTCTGCTACTGAACTTCTGACAGGTAGCCTGGAAACTCCCTCCCTAAGGAGGGAGACTGCACCTGACACTATTCTTTCTCCTCTCTCCTCAGGGTACAGGGATCCGAACATGTCAAGAGCTTTTAAATGAAAACAGGTAACTTAAAAATAATGTAGTACAAAGATACTAGAAATTCCTCACGTGAAAAACTATTCATGATGTTTGGACTGCCTCAGCCTTGAACCCAGCGACGTAGCCTGGCAGGGACTCAGTCGCAAATTGGCCCCAGACTGAGCTCCGACCTAGGACACCTGTCACAACCCGAGCCCCGGACCTAGGCACAGGCCAAGTCCCGACTCGGGACACACGCTGTGCCCTGAGCTCCTCACAGACCGAGCCCTGGGGTGACCCGAAAGAAGCGTCCCCTTGGCTGACACCCGCAGCAGAATCGGGTCGTGACCTCGGACCGTTCTGAAGGCCCCGATTTCTCCGTCCCGGGGCACAGATTCACTCACAGACACCCTCCTCCGCAAATCCCATTTCACTTGTAGGGCTACCTCGCCGTCCCGTCTTCCTCTCAGCGCACTAGACGCGGCACCGGTCGCGCGCTCCCAGACCTGCAGATGTCTCTGCTGAGAACGCGGAAGGGGCGGTACTAGACCCGAGGGGGCGGGCCCGACCTTAGAGCGCGCGGGGCCGGATTGCGCCTGCTCCCTGAGGGCTACGCCCAGGGAGGGGGGAGGGGCCAGCTTCCTAAACTGCGCAGGCGTGATAGAGAGGGGCGGGGAAATTACTGGGAAGGGGGTGGGGCTTAGCTCCCTCCACGCTTACTTCTCTGAGTGAAGGTCCGGAAGCCAGGGAAATGCCAGGAGGGAGGAGGCCAGGAAGCAGCAGGTGTAATTAACATCTACGGAGAGCTTCTGTATGCCCGGAAGGAATTTTTAAAATGTCTTTTACATATGGGGATATGCTGCCAGTCTTTTCTAAAATGAGAGCTAATTCTGTAAAATTTCTTAAAAGATTTGGGTGTCTATAATTTCACCATGAGAGTTTCTCCTTGAGTAAAGCATCTCCCCAGTAGTTCAAAATTCAAAGACTTAAAAGTTCATTTCTTGGAGAAAACCAACTGCAAATAAATTACTATTTCAACCAGCCCCTGGTCCTCTCCCAAGATGCAAGTGTGGTGATGTAATGAGAGTGCTGGAGTTTGATTCAGATCCTGACTCAGTGTGTTTCCTCTGTTGTGAAATGGAAGTAAATATCCCTTCTCTGCCTGTCTCAGGATCGCTGTGAGAGTCTGGCGAGCAATGCTAGTTAAAGAGCCTCTTGGACTTCCTTCCCATCATCCATCTGAAAAACATTTGCTCCCTTTCTTTCTGAGCTCAGTCTTCCCATCTGTATGATGGAAGGAGGTCTGGAACACTAGAGAATATTCAGGGCTTTGCTAGATTTCCCAGTCTAGGTGAAGGCTGGAGAGGGGTTCTTCTCCCAAGCGTCTGTATTCAGTCACTTCCAGAACCCCTCAGTCCAACCTGAAGGCCCCTGTGTATCCTGCTCTTTCCCACAATCACCTTCTGGACCCATCCAAGCTTCATGTCCTCAGAGGCCTGTTCCCCTCTCTGTTCCCTGAATGTCTCAATAACTAGCTGCTCCTGAGCTACTCAGGCCTATGTTCCAATCCAGGTTCTCAAAATTGCTATGTCCCCCATATGGCACCCAAGTTCAGTTAACACCAGGAAAACAAAGCCTTCAACAGCTTAGGTAGAGCTCTCCCCTCTACCTAAGAAGGTGATAGCCTGGCTTCACCTTCCAAACTGTCTCCCTATCCCTAATACACTGCCTCTCCCAGGACTCTCTCATGCCAAGTTTTGCCCTGTAGATGGGGGAAGGAGGGGGGGGGGCATCTGTTCTCTCTTCTGTCTCCTCCTTCCTCTCTACCTCTGTCTAGTCTTCTCTAAGCATCCCTCTCTGAATTTCTCAAAGCAGTTTTGTGATGATTTGTAAGAAGCAGGACTTAGCCACCCAGTTCTGAGATTAATCTACCTTCACTGCCATGGTGTATTTCAAAACAACTGTGATCCCAGAACCTGAACTTTCTAAGAGTCCGAGTTGTCCAGTCATTGAGGAGGTAGTGAGTGACCTGTCACAGGAAGTGACAGGTGCAAGCAGAGCCATCTTTTAGAATGCTGGACTGGGGCCTCCTCTGGTGAGCAAGAAGAAGGGGCAGCAGAGTGGAGGGCCTTACAGATCCTAGAGCAGTGAAAGGAGGGATACCGGGCACCAAGAAGGGAGCTAGGCAGCTAGCCAAAGACAAACTTGATTCAACACGCTATTATGTGTCAAACATTCAGAGCTGTACCTGACACATAATATTAGCTTATTGTTATTATTGTGAATGATTCACAGACTGAATAATGAAGGAGCTTAGAATTAATTATCTCCTCACTTCCACTCCTGGTAATGAAATAGATGGGGTAAACTGAGGTCTGGAGGGGCCTGTCATAGTCAGGGGCTGGACTGGGACTAGAACCTAGGCCTCTGCCTCCCAGGAGAGCTGCTGCACAAAGCCAGGCTATCACCTTCTTAGGTAGAGGGGAGAGCTCTAGGTGGGCCTTTGCTGAGTCTTAAGAACCAAACTTTTTTCCACCTCACCTGGGCAGCTGAGGGTAAGGGGCAGTGGAATGAAAGCAAGACCTGAGCTAAGACCCTCAAGTGTCTCCCCGGAATAAGCTCAGGAATCAGCTCCATGTCCAGTTACCCCCAACAAACAGCATTTTCTTAAGAAGGGCTTCCTCTGTTGTAATTAGGCTTAGGACTGTGTTTCTGCCCTGTTCCATAACACATTAGCTCCAGTAAACCACCCAGATTAAGGGGGTGAGAACAGCCAATGCCAGGTGACCTGAGCTGAAACAAGAAAAAAATCTTCCAAGAAGAGACTGAGCTCCCCGAAGGCAAGGGCCAGTCCTCTCCTCTCCTAGGGTCCTAGCCTTGCCCAGGAATTCTAGGTTCAGAATTCCCAGAGCCCTGGGAAAACCTTGGTGTCTCCACCCTGGAGAGCTGTGCCAGACATGACCATACCAGCCAGCACTCCATATGGCCTGGGACAAAAAGCTCTCCCTGCCCCATTCTGGCCCAGTTCCTTCCACAGCCTGCCCAGGAGCCATGTGGCAAACAGACCACAGATTCCCACCAGCACTGCTTTAGTTTGCCTCCTTTATTTTACCAAAAATAACAATAAAGTCTTCCCTCTGTTTCACAAAAATAGATTTTCCCCTTCTTCCCTCCCCACCCC